TTCGAAGCTAGTGGTAATCCTAACAATGCAATGTTCAGATAGTTTCCTTAACATAATGTTATCTTCACTTTAAGAACAGCACATTAACTATAATAGCTTTACAAGTTATCTAATATATTTCGCCAAAATTATCTTTTCAAGCTTTCTCTTGAAGTATTTGAAATACTTTGTACCATTATTTATATCATAATGGATTCCTAATTTGTCAGAACAGTTATTACACAATATGGTTGCCGTATAAAAACAACACAAAGTAAAACATCCTTTATAAGCTATTAAAAATACAATTGTCCATGAATATTAAATTTCTTGTCAAGTCGTAGCTTAGTACTTCAGTAGTAGATTATGGAGCTCTCACAAAGGACGCTTGGAAACTTACAATCACGGACGGATGAATGTCAGGCTTCCTTTTATATAAAATGGAAAAGAAAAATAGAAAATACAAGTGCATTTTGCAAGGATATGGCCGTGACCTTTACATTGCAAGCTAAATGTCAAGAGTAAATCCTAGCCGAGCACGGGGAAATATTGTAGGATAAAATCCAGGCGCCGCTCAACGCGTAGAAAGGTTTTGCCACTCGAGTGACAGGCTTTTGTGCGCTCCACTCCCGTATATATTAAATTGAAGGCGGAGTGGGCGCGAGATGCAACTGCTTATGTTACATCGGTATATATACATTTCTATTGCAGGCACAGAAGGCAATGAAATACCTGTCCGTTTGATAACTTACGTAACTCGAAACATGATACACCTGGTTAATAAAATATCAGTTGCAGAGCCATACAGGGCTACAATACAAGTTATTATTGGAAAAGCAGGCAGAAAGCCTTTGTGCCAACCGGTCGCACTGCTGCAGATTGTGCCCGGTTTGATTTCAATGCAGGTGACAAAGCTAATGTCCTAAGACGATTCAAAAATGTTTTCAACTCTCAAGTAGCCGGTCTTCAGAAATGTGCGCAATGTGTGCAATCTGGGCGACCGGCTGCTGTCCAGCGAACAATGGAAGGATAAGATTGTATGTCGATTGTTCGCAGCAATAGAAATATATTTTCTGTAAAATCTAAACACGGTTCATGCAATAGAGCCAAGCGACAGACAGACAGATAGACAGACAGGCGGATAACGGAGTCTTAGGAATAGAGTCCCGTTTTTACTCTTTAGCTACAAAACTCAAATAAAAGAAAAAGATAAAAGGTTCCCGAAGAACATTTTATAAACTGAACCGGAAGATATCTTGTAAGAGAATTTACTTTGTGAGATCTGTGTTCGATAGAAAAATAAGTCGTATTAGAAAACTGAAGTTGAGAAGACGAAAATGTTCTCATAAGTTTTGTGATAAATGTACACACGAAGATGAGAGTATTATGTGCAACAAAGAAATAAAAACAATAAATAATTACGTTTCATTTTTACTGGCGGTCTCATTGGTCATTTTAATAAGTTTAACTTTTGAATTGCACCCTAACGAATCTTATCTATGACCTATGTCAAATAAAATACAAAGTATTTGAAATTAAAGACTATGTAACAGTGTGTTTAAATACTACCTCTATTGTAGAAATGAGCTGATACAAGGTCGTCATTGTTTTACGCGTTGACACTACAATTATACAGATAGTTTGGATTGATGCTTTACAGAGTAAAGGTGTTGATTTAAATAATTTAAATTATGTCAAGCCAAACTTGTTCTAGAAGGGTTCTACTGGGTTTTTATTGAAGTTTTAAAGTTTCTACCAAGTTTTTCTTTAAAACATGCCCTGCTTCTACCTCTATAGTTGTATGTGATTATTCAAACGTAGTCGAATACCAAAGAGGCGCTTTGTACTCTAGCATATTATATTAAGCTCATACTTAAGTTCCTAGTTCACATTTAGGTCTCAAAACAAAACAACAAAGACTGCAAATTACGTCCTACCGGTCTATTTTAGACGTGTCGAGGGTACGTTGGCATCTGTGTGCGGTATTTATGGACTAATCGATATTAGTCTATTACCTGTTCCACTACTATCACAGCCTCTTCTTATATAGAGAACAGATAGTATGAGCATCAATCTTTTTGGTGCATATCATATTATTTATTCCGGACTTAGTTTAATTGTTGGAAGCCTAGTTATACTTGATTTTTCTGTCATTGTATCATGTAGGTATGTCAGTGATATGGTGAATTAACAGAACATACATAATGCATCGTCTTAGATTTTGAACCTGGGTGAAGGTTCAAAATCTATGCATTTTGTATTATGCACTTAAGAAATGGTAACCATTTAGTCACCACAATCTATTAATAGTGCCGTATGATGCAAGGTGTGCGATTATTATTAGCATTAAGTATAGTTAGCCAAGTTATTTCGTATCATCATCACATTAACAGTCTACACCTAAGTGGCCGCTGCTGACCATAGGATCATTTGAACATTAATCACCACGCTTGCTCAATGCAGGTTAGCAATTTCAAACTAATAATTATAAATTATAAATTCCAAGTTTGCTCACGATGTTTTCCTTTATCGTTTGCCAATGATGTCTTAGATGATCTTACAAAGTACATATAATTCGGAAAAAGTCATGGCTGTTGATAAGTCCCGCGCCCTTATGCATGAAAATCGGGCGTCTTAGACCTTCGAGGCACCACGACTAGCGTTATTTAGTGTGCAGGTGAGACAAAGATTGGTTCAGTAAACGGACGATAATGTTAAAACTAGTTTTCCTAGATAGTATACCTTTTAAAATCTTAGTTACAAGCTAGTCTCAATAATCTATCTGTAAGTAGACTTATGCTGGAATACTGAAACGGTACTTAATTTTAAGTCGTGCTTATATATAGTGCGGTCTTTGTCATTGCACAAAGAATTTATAGTGATAGTGACAGTGATATCACTATATTAAGCGCGACTTTAAATTGAGTAACATTAAAACGTATGCAGTTGCAGTCTTGTTCGTAAATGATGTAATTTTAAGTTGCTCTATTTGATTTTTTTTCGAGTTGTTATTTTATTGTTTTAATATTTCGGCATTAGTGTCAGAAAATTTAACACATTTTTACGTATGTATAATTCTTTTATCATATTGCAGAAAAATACAGTAAAACTATAGTTTGAAAACTGAACTGTAGCAGTTTGAAACTGAAACAGTTGCACAGTTGACTGCGGTGTTGATTCACAATGGAATAGTTTTGAAACATGAATAAAAATCAAATTAATAGTTCATATTGAATTTTATTGTTTGCACGTAGCGTTGGGATCCGAATGCAGAACAGTTCTGTATAACTTTTTTCACTGTTTTAAAAAAGGAAGGGTTACTGTATTTGAATTGCTGTTTTATATGTCTTTCTCGATTACTCGAGTATTGTGGACTGATTTTTTTAAACTGAAAATTCGAGTTACCGTTATTTTGTCACAGAAAATAACCTATTATTATACAATTGGACATTCAATATTTCACCGCTACAATGACTAGACAAATAAATGACCTCACGCTTCTCTGGCGCCATCTGATAAGCGTGAAAATGATGTTGTAGATAGATTTTTTTTTTTTAATTGTGAAAAATTGCGTAGGTTTTCATACGTACATGTCTTTTGTGACGAATATATCTACGAATGTCGGTTTGTACGTATGTACAGAGAATGGGGGTGTTTCGTGTATGATGATAATAGACGCTTGTTTACATTTTGTTACATTTACGTTCTCATTCTTAGAAAATATCTTTTAGTTCATATCTTTTCCGGTGCACTGGTATATCATATCAAGAATATGAATGTGTATTGGAAGTGAATTTATTGTATCAGTATGAGTGAATGTGAATATTTTTCGTAAACGGATTTTTGTACAGGGTTAAAATCGCATATACATATTTTTTTAATCTTTGCCTCACACTAGGTTTTTCTCTGGTGTCGTGGGTGCTATTACAAACAGGTTCATATACAAATGACACCCAGACCCGAAACAACAATTTGTGGATCACAGAGAGTTGTTTCGTGCGGAAATCGAATGCGCGACACGTTGCGCGGCAGCCGATTGCTTAGCCACGGCACCAACTGTGCAGTCATATCAATTATGAAACTTAAGGGTATTTATGTTCAAATGAAAAAATCGTTTCATTTATTAAAATAAGTGTAATAATAAGTCTGTAACATCTAATAGGGCTCTATTGCTTATTTCTTCTTCATGTGGGAAGAGGCGTTTAATAGGAAATCATCACCGTGGGTAACTGTCCCACTGATGGCAATGGTTATGATCTGACAGGGACTATTTTAAAGGCAAACATGTATCACTTACGTTACATCTATTACATATATGAATATTTCAAGATTTTCCAAAATTTATTCAACAGTGTGTCTACTGCCTAATGCGAATTAATGAGCTTTTCCTTCATTTATGTTAACGAAACGCCTATTTGTGACGGCTAGTGACGGTAGTGTAAAAGATTGGAGCATATCTTAAATTTATTTTCGGAGTTATACCCAAATTAGTGTTAGACGGATCAAAATATTAGCAGTTACCCGGTAGATAGATAGTCATAACATCAGTCCTGATGATTGACACATTGGCAGGGATCGGAATGTTATTAGAAACAACATGGAGTTCACTGGCCTAACACAAAGAGATCTTCACAAACTTTGACGCTGTCGATTTTATGATAAACATGAGAACTTTTTTCAGACATACTAACATACATACTTCTTTTCTTCGTACCTATCAACTTTTATACATAAGTACATGTATGTTTTATATTTGTATATTACTGAGGAGATTTTAATTTTACAACGCATGACTGTGCTGTGCATGGTCGTCCTGCTGTTGCGCCACGTGTTCCGGATTCGATTATCAAACGGAACATTCTGTAGTCTCTTGTCTGAGTGTTATTTGAATGTGAAATGTGTTTAGAAGACTACAACCGAAATATAATCAATACTTTTTTCAGCATATGAAGCTTGTTCCTTCGTCTCTCGCGGAACAAAGTACGTCTTGGCTATGAATAAAATAAAACGAATGTACTTACGTTGATAACAACTCTTTCGCAGAAGTCGTGGTCGTGTTGTATGGGTTCGAACGTCACCACCCCGCCCTGGGGTGGACGTCCAGGCTCCTCTTCCTGGTTGCACAGTTTCGGCAGTGACCTGCAAACACAATCATAGTTAGACCTCTTTTAACACCCACGTACACTTATGATTAAACAACAATAAACATTGTATTAAGGACGCCTCCGATGCTCCCGAAGGTCATAGGTTATCGGTGATGGAGGCTACAAGCCAGTTTTACACTCAAATAAATACAGTACCGTCAACATAGCATAGATAGAAATTGCCCCGAAATGAAAAGCCAGACCAATCAATTTATTTTATTTGCCGATAGTCAACAAAATATTCAGGTCCGCTCTCAGCTTTCCATTCCACTCTCAACCATTAAAAATATAACCTTCACTTATATTGAACCTCCAGGTAGGCAGAATATCTCGCCCTCTGCTCGTTGCCCCTCAAGGTTGCGCGACAATGTGTGCGCCCCGGCTTCGTCCGACCAAACGTGCTCAAACATGCCACTTATGTCCTCTTCATATTTCTCAGTTTGGCTGCGAAAGTTGCCAGCCTTAATAACTCCTACGTCCAGGGTTGCCGTCACATACTCCAAGATATCAAGTCGCACGATAGGCTATTACATTAGTATGTTAGTGTCTACCTCTATGGTTACTTGGATACCATTTCCTACAAGTACCTCAAATCTTCCAAACTCAGATAACAAGTCTCGCAAATGCTAGTGCGTCTACCTGTACAGTTTTTAAACTCATTTGAAAGAGTTTAAAGAGAACTTTCCTCGTCATAATCATCATCAGTAGTATCCATCATCCGTAACATCATACAATATGCAAATGGAATATCAGAGCGATAGCCCTAAGTAGAGTGGGGCTGTGAGCCGCGAGCCGCGCCGTCAGCACGCGGGGCCGAGAGCCGAGCCGCGTTGTTTTTCTAAAACGTTCCCCTTATCCCAGCGATCGCACTTCATTCTACTTCAGATGCTATTGAGACGAGATGACTTGACGACGACACTACAAATGTGCCGATTACAGGCACACTCGACACTGTCACGCCACTTTGTAACCCTTTATAGGATACCTAGTTAGTCGGCTTTTATTTGTCATTCACATTGTAAATAACAAGTTTAAACACCAACCCTAGAATTTGCAGTTCTACACGACTGCATTTATCGAAGGAATTGCCTGGGAAATCCGTCTTGCGAAACAGACTGTTTACAGTGGGTGCGCCCAACCCCTTTCAAAGAAGGGCCTTGATAAAACGCAATAGTTTGTTAGCAAAGGAATAGTAAGGCGATTATGTCATTAACAATTCAATGTGATTATATCGTGGGTAAGTCAAGGTTTCGAGGACGAGTTATTATACTTATAATGAATATAATGATAAATTCTTGCAGTTGGAGAAGAGATAAAAGAAATCTGCAATCGTACAACAACAGTACTATTAAGTTTGTATTGATAACTGCCATTTATAAATATCTCCTACAAATAAAACGATACTAGCAGTATAGTCGACAATACCATATTCGAGACTCGGTTGCTAAAGAAGAAACAAAAAGAAAAATGCTTAAAAATGAAAATGAAAATTCGACTTGTTTCAATTCAGTTATACCAATCATTGATCTACTTTATCGTCATTAATTTAATCAAACTATCGCACAATGACGCACTTGCGGAATCAATGGTACTTAATTATTGTACTTTGTTTGTGTAATCAACAATGTGGAGCAGGGTGAAATAATTAATCATTATGATATTAATGAGCTACTAATAATTAAGTGTGCAGGTTTGTTAAGTATTGGTATCGAACATTAAGTGGTCAGAACTACGTAGTGATATTGAATTTTCGGTCATAATGTACTTGAAAATATAGCAGTCAATATAGATGTTGTTTCTAGAACAAACGGAAGAGAATTATTGTGAGTCTTGGTACTTAGAAGAGGTACTTAGTAAATAATGATCATTACAAATATTACAACAATCACTGCTGGACCATTTTTTTTTGAGGAAGGAAAATCATCGCATTACTTCTACCGCCTGGATGAGGCCCCCTCTCGCCTCATCCGGGCGGTTTAGATTCAGACTGACTAAAAACTACCCCGTTCCTATTCCTGCATTTCGAGCCGGAGTCCCGGCAACCCGTTAAGTCCATGGACTGCTACAAAAGATTACCAATAATATAACTTTCACGCTCGGCAGGAGTTTATCAGAAAATACTGCATCTACTCTCTATTAAATGCAACTCCTTTAATTGGCCCTTAAAAACGACACCCGGGGGCAGGTCACTAGGATTCTTCGTTATAAGTGGCTAAAGTTTAACGTGAACTGGATTTATTCCTTGAAATCTATGCAAAGATTTCAAGGAAGCAAGATTTGCCCGACGTTTTCTCTTTATATAGACTAGTACTACGACTAGTAACTAGTAAATTGTATTGTGAACCTGATTGAAAAAGAGTAACCTACGGAGTTTCTTGCTCGTTCTTCTCTATAGGAATCTACGCCTTGGAATGAGCAAATAGCTTATCTTTCAATTTTTTTTTGTTGACGTTCATAAGTGCCATTCTGGCCTAATTGAAATAAATGATTTGGACATTAACTTTGACTATAAAATCTTAAATAACTTTAAACGAATTTCTGTAAAACGTAAATTGAAAATGTGTCTTTAATATTATTTTTACAATAAGTATGATGTAAGGTATGGAGTGCCTTTTCACACGTTCCAGTTGCCGGGTCGCCAGTACCGGATACCCGGCGGCACAGTATTTCAATACCATTTGTACCAAATAATGATGGGTCGCGTTTCAGGTACCCCAAGTCCACTTGCGACACCAGAAGCATCACAAGTTCACAGCGCGTTATATACATAGAAAACTGTCAAATTACGCCATTAGTGCTGGGGAGCTTCCCGGAAAATGATGGCGCAAATAAATAGGTAGGGATCCGAAAATCTCACTTATCTGACGTAACTCAACAACATTACGTCACTACTTCACACAGACTCCTTGTGAGATGATGGTAAGCAGTACCTTCCACAAATAATAAAAATGGAGTTACATTTAAATTGAAAATGTTAATATTTCGACTCAACAATTGCCAAATGAAACGATATTGAATTTTACTCAGTATCATAAAGGATATGACACTGGCCAACATAATTTTAATTGGACAGCCATTACGCATGCTTGATTCTACGCATGGCTCACTGCTTTTCCATAAAAGTGATGGACGTGAAAATTAAAAAAAAAAATATTTAATAAATTAAAAACATCTGCATTCAGCATAAACCCCAATTAGTCGCGTAAAAACAAAGGCAGAATGAACACAACCACTTGAAGCATTTTTGCCGTCGGAACAGAGAGTACAACTGCAGTTTATAGTTTTTTTTTAAACAAAAGGCTTTTTATCCAATCATCCTACACAAAATACTTGTAGATTACCTACAGATGAGATAAAATTTATACATAACATAACATCACGCTTTTTATCCCCGAAGGTGTGATATTAAGGCATTTAATGCCACTGTACAAATGTAACACCCACTTTTCATTATTTATGTGATAAGTTACATGTAATAGGGGATGAACCTATATCCATATAGGTACTGGGCTCATTTACAGATTCCGTGATCCTACTGAGGTTTTTAAAAAATCCAGTAATACTTTGCCCGACCGAGACCGAGAGATTCGGCCAATAAGGCAGCAATAAAATTTATAGCGAGACAAAATAAGTATTTTTATTCAATATTAATACACTTGATTACTAGAATACCAATTACAGTAGCTTACAATTACGTAATAGTGGAATAATCATTAACATTAAGAAATATATGTAGAATAAAATGATTTTACCTGACTTATTTAGTTAATTATAACTAGGAAAATGATTTTTATGGAATTACCATAAAAATAAAATTCGCACAGCCTTTACGCCGACGTAACATTTCATTCCACTTTGAATCTCTTAGTCAGTATACATCTCGCAAGCTCATAAAATATCTAGCTCGGCGATTTGTCGCGATTCCAAATAATAATTAAAATATTTCCAAAACACATTTATATACCGTTTAAAGCCGAAAATACCATTTATTTCTAGTCGAACACTTCATTTAAAATAGGCGACGAATTATATTAGCACTACTACCACAGAACGCCTATCTAAAATTTAAGACTTAGTATACATACGACAACCAAATTATCACTTCGTTTCTAAATTAAAATCATTCCTAACAAGTTGCGATACACCATATATATATACAATCCGTTATTTAACCGCAAAAGCAATAATTAATTGGAATCTGGGACAAACAATCTAACAGAACAACAAGTTATGTAAAAGGAATTAATAGCAATGACAATTAATTTCACCTCAGTAAGAGTAAAAATCTACAATAAACTACATTGATAATATATATAACGAAAACCCTGATAATATTTTACTGACCTTTTGCTCTTGAATGAGTTCAATTTATTATTGCAAAAAGTATTCTCGAATATTAATAACAAAAATGTATAAAGGTAACCACGTATTGTTTGTCTTTACCTGTTGTTTTCAAATTAAATTGTTTTATTAACAATATATTCATAGATTAAACACAAAGACAAAATATATGGCAAAACTGAAAAACTAGAAATTGAGCTTTCACTGTTATTGTACTTGCGAGTCGGTATCCTTCTTGTACGAACACTAAGTCGCAATTCACAAACACAATTTTCGTTTCAAAATTAATCTCCGAGAAAATCTTGAAATTATTGAAGCATAATTTATAATTTATATCGAAAATCACTAGCGAAAGAGAAGTAGCATACTTGAAATTATATTCAATAACTTCAAGAAATTAAAAGAACATTTAATGAAAAACTGGAAAACTATTGCGCAGATATAAATCGCTTTGAGATTTATTTCATTTTTATTTTCCAAGTTTCCGAGTCAGTGAGCAAGGAACCATCTTATTATAGTCACTTCATATCCATTTCCATCTAGTATTAAATTAAATCGCGACGGAAAATTAATAACTCCGCGGAACTCAGGGCGCAGTCAGAAAAAATCACGTTAATATAAAATAAATCACATTTTAAAATAAATAAAAACAAA